GCCATGGAGAGCACGGTGCCTTCCCTGCTTCTCCCTGAGCCAGAACAGCAGGGTCCCTTCCTGTCTGCCTGTCCTTACCCCACAGCAGGGCCGTGCAGGGTCAGGGACAGCTGCGTCCCTGTGGTCTTGGCTTGCCGAGCTGTGGACTCCCCATTTTATAGCCCCTTTTTATCTGTGTGACCGCATTCATTCCTGGGGCTTAGCGAACAAACGGCCACTGACAGGGAAGCCGCAGCAGTGTGTCCGTGCCCCATCTGGAGGCCAGACTCTCACAGGTGTGGCCAGGCTGTGCTCCCCTTGCTGGACTGGGGGTCCTTTCCCACCACCAGTCCCGGCGTCCTTGGCTCGTGGCAGCCTCGTCCCGGTCTCTGTCCTCCTGTAAAGACCCCAGTTGCTGCCTGCATACCAAGAGCCGTAGCTGTCACCTCTACACACACTGGTCTCCCAGTCAGGCCGGATGGATATCTGGGAGCCCTCATTCTACCTGCCTCCATGACCTGGGCACACCCCGAGTTCCCCACAACCCCGTCTCCTCATCCGGGCACGGGTTAAAGTGTATGGCTTGCTCTGTCGTGAGCAGCACAGGGCGCTTCGCCGGGCATTCACTCACCCTCCATCCACCCTCCGCCGGTACCGTGCTGGGCCCAGGGCGTGGGTTCAGCAGAGAACAGGGCTTCCAAGTCGGGAGGAGGAGCCAGGAAGTAGACAGGAGACAGGTCAGCAGAGGAGTAATTGCAGGTCATGGCTGGCACTGGAGAGATGAGCTAGTGACACTGCTGGGCCAGGGCGCTGCCCTCCTCCCCGGGAAGGCTAGGGCTGTGGGGAGCATGTTCTGGGGGTCAGATGCCGGTACGCCTGCCATCGGGGCCTCCTGCATCTGTGATCCAGAGGCCCCCGAGTTGTTTACTATGCGCTTGGTGCTACTTCACTGGGTGGGTTTGGCCCCTCCCCAGGCTGGGGCAGGCCTGGCACTGAGGTGGGTACTGTAGGGCACTCCTGGGGTGGCAGGGTGACGGGGACACAAGTCTCCGGAGGGCACACTCGCTACCCACCTTGGGGTCCACCCTCCTTTTCAAGGGGGGGAAGGGGTCGCTGTCTGTCCCTGTGTCTACCTGGCAACCCCAGGTCGCTCCCAGCTGGGTCTGACCCTGTGTTCCCTGGAAGCCTCAGGCTCTGTGAAGGCCATGCCCTTGAGCTGAGGGGCCACATCTGTCCTGGGTGGGGGAGGGAGAGGAGGTGACCCCTAGGTGTGCAGTGCAGGACAGGAGGAGGAAGGCGTCTAGGCACTGTGGGAGCTGAGCATGGGGACGGCGTGTTGGAGGGGACCAGGCAGCCTTGTGACCGAGGGCTCAGCCCCTGCCTCCTGCCACACCTGCCCACCCAGGGTGCTGAGGGACACGTGGGTATCCGAGCCTCTTTGAGCCATTGCCCCACAGGGGACTCCGCCCCACACAAGCCCCTTCCGTGGTGGGTGTTGGGCCATGGGTGTCAGTATTAGGGAGCTCAGATGGCAGGAAGGGTGGGGTGTGCACCCCGGGCAGCAGGCACAGGATGGGCCTTTTGCTCCTCCATCACTCTCTGGGGCTGTGCTGTCTTCAGCCAGAGGAGGAAAGGGACCAGTCAGGATCCCCACTGACCCAAGGCCATGGCCAGGGACATGTAGGACCCAGTGTCCCAGCTGGGCCACCGACAGGGATGCTTACAGGAAGAGCCATCTGTATTCTGTAGCCAGTGTCCCTCTCAGGTAGGGAATAGGGCAGGGCCTAAATGACCTTGTCTTTACTCCACTGTGCCTAGCAGAAGATGCTAGGGCCTTGTCCACTCGAGCCACCAGTCCTGGCGCTCACAGAGTACCCCGCACCCCAGTCTCCCCAAGCACTGCTGAGAACCTGATCCCACAGGCACTGGGGTACACATTCCCACCTTAGCCTGCATCCCCGAAACCCTCAAGGTGAGCTCAGTGCTCTCATTTCATGGATGAGCCCCCTGAGGCCCAAGAAAGGCAGGTGCTACCCAGGTCCAACCGCAAAGCCCTCACTTTTGACACCAGGCTTTGGGGGTCTTAGAAGGCCAGGCGATGAGGGCCCGAGCCCCCAGCTGGGTCCCTGGTTGGCAGAGCGGGATGGAGTCCGTGAGGTCCACAATGATCTCCAGTACCCTTTCGTGCTGCTCTGCGTCAGGCTGGGCCCTGAGCCCCCTCCTGGGACCAGTTGGTTGCAGTCAGCAGGAGCACGGCCTCCAGGACCTCCACGGTTGGCACACAGGGGTTTACACCTGGCAGAAGACTACAGATGCTCTCCAATTAGGGACTGGAGCTGGGGAGGCTCTGTGGGAGGTCCCGTGTCTGGGAGGCCCCTGTAATCACAGGTCTGCGGAGCCCGCCACAGTCCCCCGGAGGCAGTTCAATGGAAGCAGGGACTTGCAGGTGCCTCGCGTGGGCCCCAGAGAGAAGGGGGAGCCAGGAACCGCAGGCATCTCAGGAAGCTGGCCGAAGCAAGGATGGAGACCGGGCCCCGCCGACGCCTCGAGTTTAGCCAGATAGAGCTGGGATCTTCGGGCTGGCCCCAGGACCCCACCACACAGACGGGGCTTCCCGCTTCCTCCCTCCCTCCACAGTGGGTGGCCTGGGGTGGCAGTGACAAGGGGAGGACACAGCCATTCCGCTGTTTCTGCACGCTGGCCACAGTGCCTGCTGCCAGTCGGGGCCAGTGAGTGCCCCAGTCACAGCCAACAGCCACTCCGCTGTTCCTGCACGCTGGCCACAGTGCCTGCTGCCATTCGGGGCCAGTGAGTGCCCCAGGAGGGGCTCCAGATCCCCACCAGGCTCCTGGAGGTCGAGGTCACTCCCTGCCCACTCTGGTCCATTCCCAGGGGTCCTGACAAGGACAGGTTAGCTCATGGCGGCGCACTCACTGGCCTGCAATAGACCCTGGAATCCACTGCCACCACCGAACAAGAAAAGGAGTCATCGCGGGATGTCTCGAGAGGAGCCACGAGGAGGGGTCCCTAGCAGAGACTCCCTGTCATTTCTGGGTCCCCTGAGACCCCAGAGGTCCAGTCCACAATGTGACAGGGGCCCGAGAAGATGGGGCTCGTCTCCCCATGTCCCCTTTGCCAGCGAGGGGCCAGTGACACCCCAGAGAACCCGCTCCCCACCCGACCAGGGTGGCCTCAGCAGGTGTCCTCAGGAGCCCCCATCATGCCTCTCGGGGACTCGGTGCACCCTCCCAGCCAGCATTCCAGTCGGCTTCTCTCCATCCTGTGCCCTGGGGGGCGGGGGGCATCTGCAGGCACCTCGACATTTGCCGAGCTCTGGTGTCCAAGTTTCACTTCTCCTGGGCATGACAAGTCACATGAGGCCTGAGCCTCCCACTCTCCTCTGCAAGGGCCACACAAAGGTTCTCTTGCTTACCCAGCATGGACTTTGGAAAGAGCAGGAGCTGCCCAGCCGGGGCACCCCCATGGTCTGGGGTGTCGGGAGCACTGAGCCGGGCCCCGTCCCAGCGATGGTGCAGACTTGTGACTGGGCAAATCGCACAGCTTTTCTGAGCTTAGTGTTTTCTGCTGTCCTTAGGGGCTGACACCCCACCCCATCACAGGCTGGCAGTTAGTGGGAGGGTGGGAAGGACCCCTCGGCAGCCCCGGTTCACCCTTCCCTGTCGCACAAGCCCGGGACCTCCTGCAGGTCAGGCGGCTCCATGTTCGTGCCCCACCATTGCAGCATGGGGACACGGGCCGAGGCCGTGCAGGGGCAGCGGGTCAGATCCACGCCTGCCTGTGAGCTGGAGGAAGCTGGGGCCATCAGGGTAGGAAGTGGGTGGTGGGGTTGGCCAGGCTGGGGTTCACAGTAAGCCAGAGGCCACCTCCTCCCCAGGGGACGAGGGACAGGTGGGGCCTTGGGCCCTGAGGTGGGACCTTGTGCAGTCACCTCTGGTTAGGGGCCGGTATGGGCTGGGGTCCTTCCAGAGTGTTTCATGGGGGAGGGCTGAGATGGGAGAAGCAGGTCCCTGAGAACAGCGGGCTAGAGGCCCCTGGATGTCGCCCATACTGGCGTCTCTGGCTCCTTCCACTTTCTCCTGCCTTGGCCTTCAGCTGGCCCCTCCACCTGGCCTCCCTCCCCCAGGCCCACCGTGGGGCCCAGTCCTCGGCCGTTAGGGAGGCAGCTGCTGCAGACAGCCGCCTTCGTGGAGGCTCTTAGATGCGCACGAGCCTGTGGCCTCTTCTAGTCTGCAGTGGGGAGCAGCTTTCCTGGGACTGGGCCCCTGCTGGGACTTGGAACAGGTGTTCCCCGGCCTGGCCAGGAACGAGCAGCCCCACCCTGGGCCCCACGCTCATCCTTGCAGCCCTCTGAGGGTCTGGGAAAGAGGAGGCCTCGCATCGTCGTGGTCCTCCTGCCTCAGCCTTGTATGTGCCACTGTGCTAACAAGGGGTTTTCAGTGCCCTTGGAGGTGCAGTGTTTATGTTCCCTGGGCCCTGAATTTGGGGGTGGCGATGGAGGTGGAGAAGCCAGAGGCAGCAGATGTTCCGAAGGTTAGCCAGGAATGGTGGCGCACACCTGGGATTGCAGCACTTGGAAGGCTAAGGCCAGAGGGTCCCAAGTTCAAGGCCAGCCTGGGACACATAGTTCAAAGAACTACACAGCGAGACCCTGTCTCAAAAAATAAAACAAGGGTGAGGTCAGTAGCATTTGGATGTGTTGGGGGCAGGAGAGGCCAGTGGAGGGGTCCCTAGGGTTTCTGGCCCAGCAGGAAGAAAGTAGAGTCAGCCAAGGTTTGGCCACAGACTGTGTACAGGGGGCCTGGGTGTCCTAGAAAGGTGACCAGGACCCTGGCAAGCAGGCCTTCGCTCAGGTGAGCTAGGGCTGGGCTGGCAGGGCCTTGGGGTCTCAGGAGGGCTGGCTGGCGGCCATGGGGAGCCGGGCCTTGGGCGTAAATGCCTCTCTCTCCCCACCCACAGCATCCACAACGGGGTGATCGCTGTCTTCCAGCGCAAGGGGCTGCCTGACCAGGAGCTCTTCAGCCTCAATGAGGGTGTGCGGTGAGTGCCTGGGTCTGGCCGTGCTGGAGGGGAGTGGGTGGGGCCCTGCCAGGGCATTTCCTGTCCAAGAGGAAGGGCCGACCTGCGTGAAGGCCGAGTGTCGTTCTGGAAGGGCGCTCACCGCCGCAGACGCCCTCGTTGGGAAGCGGGCTGTGAAGGAGGACGAGATATAAGCAGGTGGCCGCGGCTCCCAGTCGTCGTGCCTAGGGAGGCTGCATCTCAGAGCCCTCGTGCTATTGGCAAGTCGCAGGGCTGGGGCAAGAAGGTGTTTACCTTCAGCCTGACCCGCCCTGCCTGTCCCCCGTCAGAAGCTTATTGGCAGCTAGAATCCCACCGCTCGGCAGGCTGAAGCAGGAGGATTGCCTCGAGTTCGTGGCCAGCCTGGACTTTGCAGTGAGACACTTGTCTTAAAAAAACAAAAACAAAACAGCTCATGAGGAAAAACAGGCAGCATGCTTTCCCCTTGTTATTCAGGGCACATGAGGGGGTAAGTGGGATGGGCGTCAGATTTTACATGTGGACACCCTGTACCCACCCAGAGGCCCTTACATAGGGTAAACCGAGGCCCAGGCAGGAAGTGGCCAGCCAGAGTGACAGAGAGCAAGACCATGGTGCCTTTCCCAGGCCTGACACGTGTCACTGTAGAGCCCTGCTTTTCTCCTCTTATCTAAGGAGTCTGTTGGTGATGTTATAACAACCACCCAAAAGAGTCAGGCATGGTGGTGCACGCCTGTAATCCCAGCACTGAGAGACTGAGGCAGGAGGACTGCAAGTGCGATCCCAACCCGGGTAACTCAGTGACTCAGGGAGACCCTAAGGGGATGGAGCTCAGGGCAGAGGCCCTAAGTTCAGTCCACACACACATACACACAAAAAGGCAATCCCGTCGAATTCCCATATTTCCAGCACATGGCTGCTGTGCAGCCCCTCCAACACCAGAGGTTGCAGGTCCTGTGTGCCGCTGTCCCTTTTCCTGGAGCCCCCACCCTGGCCCACAGTCCCCCCTGGAGCATGAACCTGGGTGTGGCACAGGCAAGTGCCCAGCCAGCCTCCTGCCCAGGAAAACAGGCCGAGGGCAGGGCGTGGCGCCTGGAGCTCTGGACGTGGCTCGCAGCTTGTGTGCAGGGAAGGTGAGCGTGACTGAAGACGCTGACGTCCTTGTCCTTCTGCCCATGTGTAAATGTCGGTACCTACACAGCCGTGGCTGACTCGGCAGCAGGGACACCAAGAAACGCGTCCCTCGAGGACATTCCGTTGCCCTCATGTGCCGCAGCAGTCACCGTCAGCCCCTGCCTCCCAGCCTGTGCGAGGCATCGCTGCGGGCTGTGGGCCGCTGTGCCCCCAGGATCGGTGCACCCAGGCCGAGCGGCGCAGCGAGAGCACATGCCGGCTCGCTGCTGTTGGGGCTGCCCCTACCTTCGATGTGCAGTGCCTGGCTGGATGTGAATTTTCACTGAGGTAGAATTCGCTTGCCGGAAGTTCACCCTTTTGCACTACGTAGTTCAGTGGTTTTTAGCTAGCTCTGCCCTGCTGTCCCCATTTCGGACACTTCCAGTGTGTGGGCTCAGGCACCATGTGATTTCCGTGCCTGGCTTCTCTCACCCAGAAGCTCTGTGCACGCTGTGTCTGTTCTGGTGATCATCACTGGTGCCAACGGTCATCACCCTGCTACTCTGTCAGGGACACACAGGTACCTTGGGTAGCCTGGTGTGGGGGCTGGGGCTGCCAAGTCCCCTGGTGATATTTTGGGGAGCCGCCTCTTCCTTCCCACCGCGGCTGCTCCCCTTGGAGTGTACAGGGTCCCCACGCCCTCGCCACCGCCTGTCCGTCCTCCGGTTCTGGGTTCCAGCAGCTAGAGGGAGGGTGTGCGACTCTCCGGGACAGAGGTGTGGATCCTCTCTGCAGGCTGATGGCTGCTGGGAGTCTTTGGGGAAATGTGTGTCCATCCCTGCCCTGTGCGGCTCGGCTCATCCTGCTTGTGAGTTGTGCCCAGCCATATTTCCCAGGTCGGATCTCACCTGTGCCGAGCTGTACACATGGCCCTCCCATGACACCCTTTGAGGCAGAGTTTGGTTTTGGGGCGCTCCACTGACATTTTTCTCTAACCCTCTCCTTGACATTTTGTTTGTAGTTGTTAAAGTTGGTGCCAGATGTGATGGCACACACGTGCAATCTCAGTACTCTGGGAGGCTGAGGCAGGAGGATCATAAGTTCAAGCCCAGCCTGGAGAAAAACCCTCAGGGAGCAGATCAGCCTGGGTGGCAGCAGGAGCCCACTGGGGGCCCTCACCTCTCCTGACTTGTGGGGTTTTTGGTGATTATCCCAAAGGAGATACCCTGCGGCCCCCTTCTCAGAGCCTGAGCCCAGGTGCCCTGGTGTCACTCAGCTGTGGAGGCGTCTTCGCTGTGCCCTGCGGCAGGGCTGCTCTGTGCTCTGTGTCCTTGTACAACTGGGGCAGCCTGTGTCGCACACAGGCAGCCTTGAACAGTGTGGCCGGGTCCTCCAGCTGCTGGCTCTGCTCACATGAGGATTCCACCCTCTCCTGGCTCCGGCTGCGTGGTGGCCACCTGTCCCTGCCACACTGGGGAACGGTGCCAGGTCCCCGTCAGCATCTCAGGACATCACCCCTCGACTCCCTGCTGCACTTTGTGGCTGGAGGCCATCGCACCCCTTCTCCCTCCTCCATTCCCAGCATGCATGGGGCTGGCCAGTCCCCCGACCCCCAGCGTGGCCCAGCACCTCACTGTCCAGGAGCCCACGGGTGGCTTGGCTCTCATGGGTGTGAAGCAGATTGGTTTAACCCGGTGGTGGCAAACCCATGACACACATGCCCGGGGGAGCTGCTTGTATCATTAACAGCCCTAACAATTTCACTGTACTGGTTTAAATCTGAGTTCCGTGCCCCCGAACGCTGGCTTGGCCCTCCTGAGCTTCTAGACTGGATGTCAGAGAGGTCTGGGGTTTCTTTGAGATAGGGACTGTATGTTGCCCAAGCTGTCTCTGAACTCCTGGGCTCAAACAGTACTGCGTCAGCCTCCTGAGTGGGTAGGACAACAGGTATATACCGCCATGCTCTGGCTGTTTCTTTGGTTTGCATTTTGTTTTGTTTTTGAGACAGCATCTTACTATGCAGGTCAGGCAGGCAGGCTTTGAACTCCCTGCATAGCCTAGGCTGGCCTCAAACTCACGGTGATCAGCCTTCCATGTGCTGAGATTCAGGCATTTTCCAGCATGCCTGGTTTGGCTGTTTGTTTTTAATCCACAGATCTAGGGACCCAACCTTGGTTCCCTGGCTTCTCTTTTGACCTCATTAGGTGCCCTCCCTGTGCCTCAGTTGCTCCATCTGAAAAATGAAAGTAGTTCCTGCCTTGCCTGTGACTGGAGTCGGCGTATTTGACTGTCTCCTGTCTGGAAATCTGGGCTCCCAGGGTTCTCTGGGCTGCCACCTGGAAGTCTCCCGGGTGTGTATTCAACACACACTGTGAGCACCTGCTACTCGCGGGCTCTGGAGGTGCTGCAGAGCTCTGAGCTCCTGTGGTGACTGGGTGATCAGGGTGTGGGAGCCACCTCCATCACAGCGGCTGGATGCTGATGATGTCTCAGGGATTCCAGGCCTCCTAGGTTGGTGGGGACGCCCAGCCTGGAGCTGGGGCCCGGCTTGCATCTCCTCAGCAGAGTGTGGCTGCTCCAAAGGGCCTCGGGGACCAGAGCACCCACTTCCGGTGTGTAGGGCAAGCTCAGTTTACTGTCACCTCCCACCCCTGGTCTAAGACTGACACAGCTGCTTAGGGGCAGAAAGAGTTCGTTGTGACCTCTGACTCCTTGGGGGCAGGGGCACAGCAGGAAGGGTGGACATCTTGCAAAAGTACAGCTTTGGGGGCTTTTTCTTCCGTGTATTGCTTTTAACAAATCTTACAAGTGGTCTTTCTGTTCAGCAAGACTGTGCATGTTGAAACTGTGCAAAGCAATCTTAGTAATCCGTGGGGAGATTAGGATTGTGCCATCATGATCCTTACAAACTTTGGTCACAGCATTAAAGCCTATCACTCTGCTCACTACCAATGTACGGAGAAATGGACAGGATAACAAAGTAAGTATTTGTTTGGAACATTGTATTTAAGACGTTAGAAACATTCAGAAGTGTTTTCTTTGTTTACAAACCTCACCAACAGTCACTTGAACAGTATTAGTGTGTTCAGAGGATTCTCGCTTTGCTTTTCTCTCTTTTGCTTTGCTTGAGACTAGCGCTTACTAAGTTGCCCAGGCTGGGCTTGAACTTGGCCTCTCTTCTGCCTCAACCTCCCACAGCACTTGGGAAAGCACTCTTACTTTCCTTTCTTCCTTTTTAAGACGGCGTCTCACTGTGCAGTTCAGGCTGGCTTTGAACTCCTGACCGTTCCCCTGCCTCAGCTTCCCAAGGGCTGGAATTATGGGCGTGCGCCACCGTAGCTGGCTGCTGTCACTTTCCACTTAGGACTTTAGCTCCCGGCTTTCATCCTAAGAGTTTCCGGCCCTAAGAGGTGCTTCACTGCACCTGTACAGGTGTTGTTTTCCATCCAGTACAATATTTAATAAATGACAAGAACCATTCATCTTGGGATAGCTGTTGTGTGCCTTGGTTCTGCCCAGCAGTCCGCTGAGGGTCCTGGGCACCTGCAGGGGGTGCTGGGCTGAGCCATGAGGTGACCGTGCAGCCATACACTTTGCTGACTGCACAGAACTGAATGACAGGCGCTTGGGACTCATCGCTGAGTGGCTCTGAAAGAAGTGCCGGGATTGGTTATGAGTCATGATGCTCATCTGTTACTTGTGGTGTGATTGGTGGCCTGGAAGCCAGCGGTAGAGATCTTACTTTACAACCTTGGTGCTGTGGAAACGGAAATTTGAACAGTGATGTTGGGTGGCTGCTGTTATTCAAACCCCGTTTACTGAAATTCGTGTATAGCAGAACCGTGCAACTCAGGACTGGCTAGAAAGTTCCCCTAGTGGAAGCAGAGTAAAAATTTAGAGTTGAGAGTGGCTCAGCGGCCAGTACCTTCAGCCTGCAGTTGGCATAGAACCGCCCCGCCCCTTCCTCTGCTCCAGGCCGAGCCATGGGTCCCCGCTGCCCCCCTCCCTGCTCACTGTCGTCTCCCCTCCCACGCAGGCAGCTGCTGAAGACAGAGCTGGGGTCCTTCTTCACCGAGTACCTGCAGGTGGGTGGCCTTGCAGGCCAGAGGGGACAGGACGCCCGCTCCCGGTGAGGGTGGTGGCCGTGCTGTCTCCCGGCCCGAGGCCTCTGTCCCAGCACCGCATGGCCTTTCCTGTCTGGCTTCTTCCCCTCGGTGCCATGTTTTAAAGTGTCCACGTCGCAGCAGACAGTGCCGCCGGTGTCCTCTACGGGTGGACGCCGTTCCCCGTGTGACCACCCGCACTTCCTTTATACGCAGTCCCTGTGTGGACATTCGGTCGTCACCGCCTGAGCCAGCGTGCCCGGTGCTGAGGCCGCCGGCTTCTACGCTCAGGACCCCGTGCGGCTGAGGTGACGGGCCGATGGGTCCTGCAGCCCCGCTCACGCTCGCAGCAGACAGTGCCGCCGGTGTCCTCTACGGGTGGACGCCGTTCCCCGTGTGACCACCCGCATTTCCTTTATACGCAGTCCCTGTGTGGACATTTGGTCGTCACCGCCTGAGCCAGCGTGCCCGGTGCTGAGGCCGCCGGCTTCCACGCTCAGGACCCCGTGCGGCTGAGGTGATGGGCCGATGGGTCCTGCAGCCCCGCTCACGTGGGGGTCCCCTTCACCGGAGCTCCTGGCACGTGGCCTGCGTTTCAGGGTGTCCCCACGGCCACCTCCTGCCTCGTAACGACCTGAGAGAGGCCCTGCTCGGTGCAGGTCCAGGCTTTGCCCTGGTCCCTTGGGGTCCCACGGGCCGGGGCCCCTATGGGCCAGTGACTGTACCTCGTGTCTTTCAGAACCAGCTGCTGACGAAAGGCATGGTGATCCTTCGGGACAAGATCCGCTTCTATGAGGGTGAGTGGTGCCCGGGTGAACATTGCTGCACCCTGTGCTCAGTGCCTCGGGCTGGGGGTGCTGTCAGTGCCCACAGACCCAGGGCTGGGGGGTCTCTCTGGTCAGGAGGGCTGGGAGGGTGGCAGCAGGGAGGCTGAGGTCTCACTGAGGGGACTTGGGGGTAATGTGTCCCTCACCCGGGCACCCAGGAAGGTCCTTGCTCCCCTCACTGCAATGAGGACTCTCCGTCTCGGTGACTCTTGTCCTCTGATTAGAAGCCACCTCAGGGTCTCGGGGGATTGGAGAGGGACAGGTTGAGGGGCTAGGGGATCGCAGGAGATCGCCCTGATATTCATAAAGGAAGGGCAGGGCCTGGGAGGCACACGCACCCACACGGTGAGGCCTTCTGGTACTTGTTCCCAGATGGGGACAACACAGTGGAAATGGGCAGTTTATCCTCGGTGACTCTGACAGGCAAAGGCAGGACTCGATCCTGCTTCTGTCTGGCTCCAAGCCACACCCCCTGGCCATTGCTGAGCCTGTGGTCCCAGTGGCTTTGCTACCTGGAGAGCGTCAGGTGACAGTGGCCCTCGGGCATGTCCCAGGCCCGGGGGAGTAGCCCAGGTGTGCACTCCCTGCCTGTGTGGGGTCCTTCGTGTGGTCCTGCTGTGTTCCATGCCCGGTGTTTACACCTGCTGCTCACAGAAGCCCCAGGCCGGACAGAGAGGCACCAAGCACCCTGCCCTCACTCAGACCCGAGAGCCAGGATCTCAGCCCAGCACAGGGGGAGCTCGGAGCCACGTGTCTTCTGTTCCTCCCGCACCCCGGTGCGCACACAGGGCCGTGCCAGCTGAGGCAAGAGTGTGAGAAGCACCAGGAGAACAGGCCACGGGCCGAGGGGTCAGGGTGGCCTCAAGGCGGTAGCGGTGGCGCCTGGGAAGGAGCCATCCCACGCCGTCCGACTCCGCACGTTCCCTCGGTGCCGGCGCCTACCACTCGGCTCCCAGGCATGGGGCCCTCAAAGGGTGGCTTTGTACAGCCTGGTGGAGCTCTGCACTCGGTGCCACATCCTCCCAAGCAGGTCCAGGTGGTGGCAGGGATGAGGGTGGCCCCTTAGCTGAGCAGCCCAGGCCCTGAGACAGGCAGCGGGCTCCAGCTGGGGGCCACTGACAGGTCCTGTCCTGTCCTCTCTGGCCTGGAGCCCCTGTGCCCGCACCGTGGGGTGGAAGGCAACTCTCCGTGTACAGGGTGTGCACGGCATGTCGGGCCCCAGGGTCCAGAGGTGGGCCGGACGGTGCCGGTCCAGGGGGACGAGTGGCAGCAAGCACAGCAGGCGCTGCCCTCAGCCTGGACCGCACGGCCGCCCACCCTAGCGTTTCCCTGGCGCCTGAGGCTCCCTGGGGGTGAGGCTGCCCCCGAGTGGGGTAAAGACTGGTGGCGTCCAGGAAGCAGCCTGTGGTTCATGGACTGTGTGACCAAGCTCCTGCCGGGTCCCTGCTCTCCCGGCCCCACTGTGGGCTCTGCCATCGCTGTCCCTGGGGCCCCTGAGTGGCTGTGAGATCCTTGCGGCTCCGACAGGGCTGGACATCTGCTTCCTGCAGTTTCCGCCCGTGGGCTGGGGAATGGCCTGCTCAGCGGGACGCTGCCTGGCGGATGCCCAGGGCCAGCCCACGGCCAGTGGGGACTGAGCATCCTTTCTTCCTCCGTGTCGGCGGGACTGAAGGGACTCTGTGTATGGGCCTTCCCCGGGGCAGCGAGCATCCGCCTGCCGGGCTCTGCGGCCACCTCACCCCCAGCCAGGTGTGGGCCACACACGGAGACTGGTCCGCTGGATGAGGATCCTGAGGGAAACGGCCAGGGGAAGGGAGGCCCACAGAGTTAGGGAGACAGCTGGTGGCTCTCGGAGACCCTTTCTTCCTTCTCAGAGCCCACCACGGGGCTGCTGAGGCACCAGAGCCCTTGGGGACACATGTGAAGCACAGAGCCAGCTTAGGGGCTTAAGCGGTCCTGAGGTGTCCACACCCCGCTTTCCACTGCCTGCACCCACGCAGCCCCCATGCAAGCCGGTCTCTAAATCTGGCCTGGACAGCACTTCCTCTAGGAAGCCCCTGCCTGTCCAGCCCCCTCCTCGCCTGGGGTGGGGTGCTGCTGTTGGCGTCACTCCGGCTCCCCCAGACCCACCCTGGCGGCAGGCAGTGTGGCCCGCCTATTGGCAGAGGCCGCCGGGAACCGCAGCCCAGGTCACTGACCTCAGAGATCATCTCTCCTTTGTCCCCCCAGGCACCACCTGTGTCCCTGTCCCTGTCACCTGATGGGTCTGGAAGCTGTTGGGAATCATTTGGGTCCCCGGTGCCCAGCGTCAAACTGGCCCAGAACGGGTGCCCTGTAAATGCTAGTCGGATGGACAAGCGGGAGGGTGAGGCAGGTGGATGGACCCCTCGGCTGCTGCTCTAGGATCAGGAAGGTCTGGCGATGGATGACCTCTCCGTGGCACCAGAGACAGCACGGGCGCACCCAGGACAGACCCTAGGCTGAGTGTCTTGTGGCTTAGTGTCAGTGAGTCCGCAGGTCGGGAGGTGGCCCTGACACTGTCCCGTTTCACAGCTGGACACACTGAGGTGCACGGCGGCCGAGTGACAGGCTCAGGCCCTGGGGCTGCTGTGCAGGGGACAGATGTCGGCCTTGGCAGGCACCTGTGGGCTCAACGCAGGGCCTGGCCCCTTGTCCTTCCTGAGTGCATGGAAAGGGTCTGGCAGGTGGTGATGGCTCCTCGTCCAACAGGACAGAAGCTGCTAGACTCGCTGGCGGAGACCTGGGACTTCTTCTTCAGCGACGTGCTGCCCACGCTGCAGGCCATCTTCTACCCCGTGCAGGTGTGGGGAGGAGGGCAGTGCCATGGTGCCAGGCCAGCTTGGCCTCACTGGGAGGGAGGCTGCCTGGCGGGGCGGGCCTGCTGTGCTGCGCTGCTCTCTGCGTGCGCTGGGCTGCTCAAACCACGCTTGCTCCCCGGGCCGTGCGGGGCTCTGTGCACGGAACCCTATCCTCGCGGGAGGGAGCCCACGGGGCCTTTGCCTGGGACAGGGCCATCTGGGTGGGCCCCGAGGGCACAGCCCTGACTGTCCTGCTCATGCGCACGGTGTCTCCAGGGCAAGGAGCCTTCGGTGCGCCAGCTGGCCCTGCTGCATTTCCGCAACACGATCACCCTGAGCGTGAAGCTGGAGGACGCGCTGGCCCGTGCCCACGCCCGCGTACCACCTGCCATCGTGCAGATGCTGCTGGTGCTGCAGGTAGGGCGCGGGGCTGGGCTCGGGTGCCACAGACAGAGTCTGCCCAAGGATTTGGGGACTTGGAGAGGGAGAGGCGGGTAGGGACGACACCAGGCCAGGATACGGGTGCCTGGGGGTTTGAAGGGGCCCGTGATGGTTCCTCCAGGATGCTGGGTCTATTGCTGAGGCTGTGGACACCATGCCACATGCACACACAGTGACTGCAGCCCTTCTGCCCAGGCAGTTTTCCTAGCCAGGGTGGCTCTGGGGAAGGGGACGCTGCTGGCAGCCCACAGAGCCCCCAGCAGCAGATGTCTCCATAGCCTGCTGTTTCCCATGCCCTGCAGGGCGTGCAGTGGCTGAAGGTGACAGCCTGTCCCCCAGGTGCAGGACACTGGGGAAACACAGGGCAGTGCTTGCTGGGGCCCGTGGGCCAGCTCTGCCCTGATTCTCAGTTGCCAAAACCCTGCTTGTTGTCCTGAGCCCCCTATATATGGGATCCCTTTAGGGTCAGCCCCAGGGCAGAGAGCGCCAGTGAGATCCCACGGCCAGGAGAGCTGTCGTGTGAAGAGGTGTGGGTCACCCTGGCAGCCCAGCAGGGATGCCTGCCTGGCATAGGCATGCCAGCGGGTGGGATTTCTCTTTGACAGCAAGACCTCCTACCTCGCAGGCAGGTGTGAGGGTCATGGGGAGAAATCCCAGGAAAATTCCCCGTGGGCTGTGACGTACCCAGGAAGGTGTGTTGGTTCTGGGAAGACCCAGGGAGGCGGCCAGGGCCTGGTGCTGCTGCCCCCTGGTGGCTGCTGTGCATCATGCAGCTTCCTGGATGCGCTTTGCAGTCCGCCGCGGACTGCACCTCCGCCCTGACAGTAAGCCTGTGCCGTGGTCCCCACTTTGAATGATCCGTGTGTCACTATGTCATTGCTGGACACAGCAGTACCTGACACCCACAACCTGAAAGAGGAATTTAATCTGGCTCACAGTTTCGGGGGATTTAGTCCATGGTCAGCTGCAGTAGGAGCAGCATGGCAGAAGGGCTTGATGGAGCAAAAACTGCTCAGTTCTTGGGGACCAGGACACAGGGCAGGGAGCAGATAGAGCACCCCAGGTCACACCTCCATCACCCAAAGGGCTCCCAAGCCAGTCAGGTTGACACAGCCAAACTTGCTGGTCACAGTTGACCCTGTCCAAGCCCCTGCTGAGCTGTCCCTGGTGAATCGGCCCCTGCTGTTGCAGGTCCTGAGTGGGGCCGATTCAGTCCCAGCACCACACGGCGGGGAGCATGACAGGTCCTCAAGGTGGATGGCATGAGACACCCAGCCCAGCTCAGGACATGAAGGCTATCCGCCTGTCCACGGCTGTGGGCAGAGGTGGTCCAAGGATTGTGGGAACCCCACCCCCGTACCAGAGTCCTGGCCAGGCTCGGGAGTCGCCACCAGCTGGGCCACACTGGGAGGCAGGTGACTTCCATCCCCAGTGAGTCACAGGCTGTATCCCTCCTAACGCCAGGCCGTGCTGGCGTGGACGTCACAGTGTTCTCCCGAGGGTCGGCAGCAGGCAGCCCTCCAGGCGTGCTGTCTGCATTCATTCACACACTGATCATTAAGCCAGCGCTCACTGGAGCTGCCCTTTTGGTCCTCTACCAGGTGCTGGGACAGAGGGCACGCGAATCGGCCCGCTGCTCAGGGAGCACCCAGGTGGCCCATGGCAGCCTCCTCCCTTACTCCCAGGTGCTGGGAAGTGGCTTCAGTGGTCCAGTGGGTAGACGAGGAGCATCCCAGGAGGGACAGGAAGGGCTGAGCCGTGAGCAGGAGGTGCTGCTGCCCAGGGCCTTCAGGGCCCTGTGGGTGGACTGAGGGAGGCCTGGCCTTCTCTGTCCACAGTGCCCTTGGCATGGGGCATCCAGACCACAGCAGCTGGCAGTGGTCAGCACAGAGGGTGCTGAAGCAGCAGGGCAGGGGGTGGGCGGGAAGGTTGCTGTGGGAACGGAGGAGGCAGGGACAGGCTGGACGGAAGTGTGCGACCCCCTGCCCCTTGTTCTCTCGCAGGGTGTGCACGAAGCCCGGGGTGCAACCGATGACTACCTGCGCCTGGAGACGCTAGTCCAGAAGGTGGTGTCGCCATACCTGGGCACCTACGGCCTCTACTCCAGCGAGGGCCCCTTTGTCCACTCCTGCATCTTGGGTAGGGGTCACCTGCGCCTTGGGCGGGGGCGAGGGTGATCACAGATGGAGAACAGATAGGTGAACAGATAGGCAAACTGAGGCCCACAGCTTTGTGGTGGCAGGACCGGGGTCCTCCTGGGACAGCATCGGTCCTGCAGCAAGCCCACCAGCTGTGGACCCGGGCACACAGGGACAGGGCAGGAAGGGCTTGCAGACTCGGTGAGCAGCCACATGGTGACACACGAGAGCCCCACGGTCACAGACAGACTCAGTCGAGAAGGCACAGCTCGTGCAAATGCCCCAGGCCTGAGGAATTTCTGCTCTTAACTAGGGAGCCGCATCGGGGATGAGGAGATGGGGGTGCCAAGCCCTATGGAGCGGTGACCCAGGGTGGCCTCAGGTGTCCACCAGAGCTGCCGCGTTGCTCCTTTGGTTCACCCTGAAACTTCACTTGGGCAGCAGAGACCAAGCCCCACCCTCCTGGGATCTGATCCAACAGGGATGGTGGATGACTGAGTCCCCACAGTGACCGCGGGGTGGAGGGTAGGGAGCCTCCTGGCCAGGGGGCAGCAGCGGTGCAAGGACCACTTGGGAATCCGCTGTTCTGGAGCGGAAGCCTGTGCCTGCCTGCTGAGACAGAACCCCTTCCCCCACCGAGTCACTCAGGCACATCCCACAGCCAGCGAACCCCTGGACCCTGGTAAAGGGGACCCATCCTCTTCTGTGCACTCCGTGGAGAGGCCACTCCCCTGCTCTGCCCTGCCACCTGCTGGTAACGTTGTGGAACTGCAGGGTCTTCACCTCTGCCCTGGACCCTGCAGTCGGTTGCTCTCCACGCTGGCGGCTGAGCACTCCTTATGGCCTTTGCCACTGTCTCCCACCACAGTCGGAACGGTACCTTCTCCCTGCGAGTCCCTATGGGGCCCTTGTCACCCACCCCTTCATAGCCCGTGTCCCCAGCCACCCCAGGGACACTGGCCCTAGGAGGCCAGGAGCGGAGTCTGCCTAGGAAGGTGCCAGCCCCAGGATTCACAGACTGTACTGGTAGGGAGACGGAGACACAACACGGATGTCACTGACGCAGGTGTGGATGTGGACCTGGGCGACTGACCTGAGGTCCTGCTGCCCGGCCAGGCGGAGAGGGGCAGCAGGTGGCCCCAGCTTTCGGCCCGACTGAGGGCCGCGCACGCACCGCACC